TTTATTTCCCATTTTTATTACGACCTGAGGAGATGAGGAGTATGCCAGCATCAGTATCGCCATCGCCGAGGTCACCGTTTCGATTCTTGGTTGGGTCAAAACATTTCCATGCCAGAAATGTTTTGGCTACTTAAGTGATATCATATGTAAATATATTAGGTATATTCAATAAAGTGAAATGTGAGTAAAAAGTCCATAATATTTTTTGTCTATAAAATTACAATCAAAGTTAACCCACTCACGTATAGTGAGTATTGTCTCGACGACGCATCCGTCCGTCTATCACGCATAAATAAGATTTTTTACGCACCTTTCACATTCGACCTGTGCATCGAGTCCATGCAACCATCGCCGCGAGGGTTGACGACGTTAATTGTATAACCAATTATGGTGTTATCCATTAAATAAATAAGTCTTGAAATATGATTTATGCTTTAAAATAAAAAAAAATATTTTAAAGTTTATATGAAATATGTATATTTTTTATATCTTAAAGAGCCCGAAACGTCAATAAAACTTAATACAAACGCGATGAAACCGTTTAAAAGTTGTTTCATTTATATGTATATTTTTCAAAATTGTAATAAATAATAGTAGATATTCTAATATAAATAATTGCTAATATCTAAATACAACATATTTAATAATAATAAGGAAAAAATGATTATTCGGTTTTTTAATATTATTTATTTTATTATTGTGTTTTTCCCACCGGAGTGGCAACCCTGCATGATGAACGTAATCTGTGATAGTCGATATTATTTGGCAGATGCGTGCGCGCATTATTTCCTGTATACCCTTTCTCGGCATGGGAAAGTGGCCCTGGCCATTTTTGTTCCAAAAAATTGAATTTCTCAACATTCTTACACATACTGTCATATATTTAACATGTCATATTCATTACAAAAAACAATCAGAAATTTGTAATTTGTCTTGTTCCTTCAATTCACCGTATTTTTGAAAAAATGTCAACGAAAACAAACTATATTCGAAGACGACCTTTTTTAATTAAATGAAAAACGTTGCAAAATTGTTTCATATAATTTTAAGTAGGCCTTCTTTGCTTATTACTACGATTTTTATAACTAAAGAATTTCGTAACCCGATTACTTCGAATGTTTAGAAGTCGGCGTCATGTGAGTTTCGCGGTGTCGGTATTCGGGTCAGCTGTGGTGGTTAATTACGATTAATATCGATATATTTCTCGATTCCGAATGGGAGCGCCACTGCTATACTGTATAGCTTAAAATGTGACAAGTATTTATTGATTACGCCACCATATCAATTCTTACTTTACAGCTAATAAATGGTCCGACCCATTTTTCGATTAAAGTGGAATGTTTTTGTGCGTTCTTATTTATTTTCATTCACTTTTATTCCGGTCAAAACAGATTTGTACTATAAATACATCATCTAATAAGAAAAATTGACTCTAAATGTTAAAACAAGAAAATATTAAAGTCTTATGTCAAATTTGAGAAACAAAAATGTTCATTAAGGCATTCACCTCTTTTAAATACACCTATATTTGAACTCAGATTATGTTTTTTAACCAATACTTTTCCATTAGTTTAATAAAAAAAAATATTTACTAGGATATCTACAGTCTTATGTGCCTATGTTGTACGTAACATATCGTAATAACATATTATAGACTTTATGCCGACGTAATAGAGTTTCATGTAAGACATTCATATCGCGATATTTTTATTTCAATTGCTAAATTGTTTTGTCAATATGATAATTCGCTCGGTATAATCTATATAGACCCGGTTAACCACAAACGGTGGTAATTGAATACCTCTGCATTGTCGTGTCCAATCAGCCAATCCGTACTAGGAAGTGGCACCGGTCATCGAACCTGCTATAACGCGAAATGTGATGTGCGCCGCTGACTCAGCCGCGCGGCTCACCATACGACAATCGATGTGTTGACAAGACTCATTCTGTTAGTAGTGTTTTGTTTTATATTTAATTGTTTCGATGAGGCTTTTTTATTTTATTATGTTAAGTTTGGAATTGTCGTATGGTACGCGCTTAGCGTATTTTTTTATAGTAATAATATTGTTAATTTTTTTGTATGCAGATATTTTCACGTTAGTATAATGGAGTACTGACTGATCGAGCCGAATTTAATATACATGGCATTAACCTGTCATTTAAATATGAAATGCAAATTATTACGAAATTTTAACAACTTGCGCTTGTGATGTTTTTTCCTAGAGTTAAAATCGAAGAGCTTACGTTTCCACAATATTAACTCTAGTTCCTATAACATAAAATTATACGCTTGAAAACAGAAAAATTAAAAGCAATTCAAAGTGAAATCGGTGTTTAACGATTCATACATTAGCCACTATTTTCCTTGATGTGTCAATGACATGCATGACGTATTTCTACAAGTAAGCAATTAGTATACGCCTTTGACATATTAAATAAATCTGCTCCAATATTTATCTGCAAAACAATACGTAATGTAATAAAGTACTTATTACAAATATATTCATTAATCGAGAATTAGTATTCTTCATTAAAATATTAAAAAATATTATCACGGTCGGTCGGTCATAAGAGTGTAAAATAGATTTTAATATAAGTGATGACTAGAACTAGTGGATGTATTAGAAACCAGAGGTATTACTTAAGTTTGCAAACAGACATATTTTCCTTTATCATCGTGAGACATATTTAATTTGATCAATATATTAATATCTTCATTTAAAATTTAATAATAAATCAGTGAGGCAGACGAGATTAATATCTGCGACAAGAAGTTCACTGTAATAGGATTTGGAGTGAAGCATGATACTCTGATGTTACCTAAGCAACACAATACGTGATATATACCAATAAATAGGTTCATGGAATTTGTACCGTTGAAGATTTTTTGAATTTCAATGTAGTCTGATTTATTGTAAATAGAACATATCGTAATGGCCTCTTCGATTTTGATAAGGTTTTCCCAGTGGATAGAAAGTTTATTGAGTAAGGTTTATTAGCTACTCGCAGTCCTGTATCTGTAATATAATAATCTCGTTTTTATATCAAAGCAGTTAAAGCCTACTATCGAAACAATGTGTATCTATGTTAGTAAAGAATTGAGGATGTGTATGACGTAAATGAAGTCCAAGATAAAGGATCTCGTTGAAGCAATTCGTGACTTAAATTTGGACTCCGCAATAATGGTTAAACCCACAATAAAACACAAATGATTAGTCAGTAAAGCAACCATTTTTTTATCTTAAATATAGTAAGGTAGTGTGGTGAGTTTAGAAAATAAATTAACTTTTAAAAGATCTTGATTAATAAAACTGAAAAAAACGTGGATTAACAAGTTTTGGAAATCGCTGATTGAAATAGCAGTAACAGGTATATTAATCAAATGTTTGAATTAAGATAAACTTCTATCTTCAGGTCACTTATTGACTCTAGTAGTGACAGGCTTGTATACAAATAAATAAAACCTAGCCCCATAGATCTTGCGGACGTGAGCAGAATCAAAAGCAGAAGATACATTAAACGATTGTTTTTCATAATCAGCCATCTCACTAGAATATAACTAAATATCAAAGTAATTTATTATATTATTTCATGTTTTATTGATAAAGTTCTGTGAAATAGAGGTAGGGACACAAAATTTATAGACGTCTCTTTACAAATAAATGAAAAACAATATCATTCCACATTTAAAATAAATTTTTCGTTTAAAATATGAATCGTACCGTGACATAGAAGGATCAATGGTGGCTTAGCAACCACTCGAGCTCCGTTACAAATATAAATCAGGTATATATTGTAGACATTCCTCTGATATAGACAATAGCTCATTGTAGTTTAAAAGACTCCAAGTAAACACACTAGAAAATGTTCATTCATGTACGGTAAATAGTGACAAGAGTTAACGAAATATTATTGGAAAACTGTTTAAAAAATACATTCTTATTCGTTGTGATCGATGTTAAACATTTTGGTAGCTTTATTGCCAATTCTGTAGTTAAACGTAGAGCGTTATACTTAAAATATGCAATTTTAATTTGGTATATCCATTCCTCTGTTGTTATACGTTATAAAATTGTAAATGCAAACGGGATTAAAAACAAATGTCATTAGGCGTGTTATACATATCCGTTATCTCCTTCTCAAATAAGCGATAGGTTATAATTGTTTTTATGGTTTATTATAAATACAATTTTTTTTTGAGGTTCCTACGTCAATGGTCGTATTATTTTATTACTTCGTAATTTAAAGGGTACTTATTTGGCTACTTTAATTTAAAAGTAGCTAACTAATGTATTTTGAACAGAGTAGATATGAGTTATACATTTACATTTATAATTAACAAAAGACTCCTAAGTTCAATGTCATATTTTAAATAATCAACAGTCTCATTAAAATGGGTTTAAAACTAAAATTTTAGTCATCAAATTTAAATTGATATGGTTGTTATTTATTGTTTTAAAGTTGTAACGGTCACTTTAAGAATTAAAGAATAATAGTTACCGACTAAACACAAAGTCGGATGAGTCCAACAGGTGTTGTTAGATTATGTAATTGTAGAAGTTTTAATTGCATCTGTAAATCCAACTGCGGGTCACTGCTACTGAACAACTAGAACCTTAGCGAATGCAATTCACAGCTGTCGAGCGTCTACGATTCATTAAAACTAAAATAAAACACCGCGTTCAAAGGGCTTGTAGACTGTTGTTGCTACGGCGTAGCGTGTTGCCGGCCCTCTAACACTACGAGAATTTTCCCAAAAGTATAATCATTTATTACGCAAGGAAGCGAAAATTTGTACAAAATAACACGATTAAAGATCTAGAAATACTATTCCGGTTTTTAAATTTACGCTAAGAATAAAGAACCGGTTTTTACGAATTTATTTAATATGTAAACCCGGAAAAACCTTAATTCTACCAATAATTCTTAGTTTTGTTTTGTCATTTTATGTACGATAACGGCCACGGCAACGTTTATGATATAAAATATTATTAACTTACTGTATCTCTTCATGAGGGACTTCTTGTAAGCTTTGCCGGTGACCGCATCGTCGCCGGGGCTGAGCCGGCCGGCGGAGTCGTCAGATTCCGTGCCCGAGTCCCTGCCGGTGGCCAGGTAGTCCCTGGACTGGCGCAGCATCACTTGTGCTCGTACATAATCCGCGGGATCCACAAACGGGTGTCGCGCAAAGTCACATACAGTTATTTCTTTTCGCACTGTTAAGTCCAGAGGTGAGTCTTCATTATCTGCTTTGGGTGAGGGCGATCGTCGCTCAGTGTGTTCTTGTTGCTCTACGCGTTCCTCGCGCTCATCAGGGTACACCTTCCTGGCAGCCAAGGTCCTCGGTTCAGCGTCAGCGCTGAGCGCTCGCCGGTCGGTCGTAGGGGTACGCCGCGGTTCAGGGCCCGCACTAGCCGGTCGCGACACAGCCATCATGTTTACCATTTACACATGCACCATTATCACCAGTTTCAGTTATGTCATAGAGCGTAACGAGTCGTGTTGTAATCGCACGCCGCGTCCGCCGGCGGTCGCGTCGAATTGCGGACTGATGTCCCAGTTTCGGCGAAGAGTTCCACTGACTCCGTGAGCTCGGTTCGGGCGCGCTCGGCGCCGCTCGGCACTTTCATTTTCGTATTGTAAGCATGTGTGCGTGCGGGTGCACACTCGCCTACCGCGCGTCCTAGTGTGTGTGTTCTATCAATGTGTGTACAGCTTTTTCCAATTTCGTCGCGGAGCTTTCCTTCATTTCCCGAGTTACCTAACAGGTTTTTGCCAGCTCAAAGGACTCGATTGATTCGTTGTTTTAGATGAATTACTACTTTTTCTATTTCAGTACTCGGGCATCTCGAACAGTAAACACGGTTAGAGGTTGAATGTTACTTTTGTTCTTATTTCATGTAACATTGACTAATCTAATGATGCCTTAGTTTTTTTTAAATATTGTAAAACGGATCTGAATCTGTTATGAGCAGGGTCACGTAACAATTACCTATCGAAAAACCGGAACGTAAGAAAAATCGAATTGCCGCTTTGCGTAACGAACCACGTAAACAATTTGTATGTTTTTTTTTATCTAACGCTCGGGGCATTGACCGACTTTACAAATAAGTTGCGCGCGCGCCGACCACGTGACACAGTGGCACGGCCACCGTACGCTGCGCCGGGGCGCCTCCCCCGCCGGTATTGTCCACCGGGCGGCGGCGGAGCTGCTCCTAACATTATACGGGGTTCAAGATACGTTTGACGTTGCGTTAGGTACGCTCGTACGAATGTAGAACCAATGTCAATGGGTGTTGTTTGGGCCGTGTAGATAATTTGGAGGCGAGTTATTGTCGCAGCCGTGACGGCGGCGAATGAGGAACCAAACACCATGCTCTTATCGTATTGCATTCGTAAACAGAAGTTACGTACGCGCTCAATACTTAACAGGATAATATTGCAAAAGCGTGCTCATTGTAAATATTAAAAATTTAAATTAAAAAGAAAAACTATACTTTTACGAAAATCTACCTATATTTTAGGAAAATTTATTTCATAAATTAACACGCCATCTTGTACATTTGAATTAGTCACAATTTAATTGAAAATTAAAAAAGAAACTTTTTGACAGGTCTGGTGATCAGAAGCCTGATTTGTGCTGAGTTTGGCTATTCAAAGAGGAAACGCTCGCAGCCTTCTGGGTACCTTACCTGTTGGTAATGATCTGGAAGACATTTTTTATTTAGTATAGTCATAATTTTAAGGTATAGTTTGGATATGTTGTTTTAACGATTGAAAATTAAGTAACAATACCGACTTTTGTTTTAAAAATTACCTATCAGTTGTCAAACATGTAATCTGAAGAAAGTAGGTAATATTGAAAGTAAATAAAATCATTAAAACGAGGTGTGAGCTCTTATCGATACAAAAATAAATTGTTTACCCTCAGACAGTAGTTATGGCATTAAGCGACAATGTTTATCACATTTTGTTCTTTAAACATTTCCAAAATAGAATAAATACCGGATTGTTTATATACAGCGACACATATACCTAACATTGTTTGCTTATCTCATACACCGACTAGTAGATACACATATTTTTTACTAAAACATTGAATAGTGGATAGAAGGAAGGAATTCTTCATTTATGTGAATTCCTTTACTCGATAATAACTTTGAAACATGTACTCAATGAGGCTCTTAAATAGGTTATTATAATTGTCTAATTCTGTGTGTTATTGTATAATCAATTGTGATAAGTAATAAGAATGGCAATTCACAAGAATATGAATGGGTGAAAACGATTTCGAACATAAGAAATTATGTGAATAAAATATGGGTTAGCTATTTCTCCTTATTAAATGTTGCTGCCTGAAAATCTGGGTGAGGTAGCGGTGTTATATCTGATTACAATTAAATTTCTTAATAAGAAATGATATTACGTAATAATGATCGGAAAACTTACTTTTTAAAGTAATTAAAATTATTCGAGGCGATCACGAAAGCTCTATAGTGATCGATACATAAGTATGTAGCAAAGTCGCTTTCTATCTATCTTTTGTTATGTATGATCTTTAAAATTACGCAATGGATTGAAAAAAATATATAAAAAAATCATAAATGTTTATTTACGTATCAAAGCAGTGCGAACATCTGTTCGTGATAAGATTCCTAGTAAGTATATAGCATACCTGTATCAGATTGTTATCACTCTTCAAGACCGGATTAAACATAGGTGAGTAAATAAATTAAAAAAGAAAAAGAAACAATGTGTGTGTGTGTGTGTGTATGTGTATACGTGTGTCCGTGTGTCAAAGGAAGGTTTTATGTACAGGACCGCGCTGGTGAAGCCGCTGGCAGAAAGCTGTTTTTATATTAGTACTTATAAAAGATCATGTCTTTTTTAGAAATTCCAGGTCATTGTTTCTATTTGCGAGGTTTGTTTATAAATTCGTTTTATCAATATAATAAAAAACAAAAAATAACTTTATAAAAAATAAATTAAGAAATAATATTAATATCTGCATTGATATTATTTCTAGATTCTGGTATTCATTCTTAGTTGATGGTAACTTGTATTTTATTTGCAAAGACCTTTATCGTTTACAACGCTATGTATAATTAGAATAAATGAAAGGGGATTTGTAAAAAAATGTATAAATAAATAACTTTGTAATGCGCGTCTGTTTTGGAACTAATAACCAGAGGTCGGAATTAGGTAGAGTTATTTATGTACTTGCATCGAAATGTTGATATTAATGTGGACCTTCCCGGGATTTCTTTATTTCTTTCTTTCATTGATGTAAGTTTGGAAACGTCGTGCGTGCAGTAGTTTAAATTGTGTAAAAGTAAATAACTTTTTATTTAAAAAATCACGGGATTTTTTCTGCTCTTTAAAATTAATCTCGGGATTTGAGGCATATCCACTTTATTCTTTCGCTGTATGAAATCAGTGTAAGTACATGAATAACTCTACCTAATTCCGACCACTGCTAATAACTGTTCTCCGGCGATAAGCTTCAAATGATTTAGCACATATCACTGACGCACTCTTGACATTGCCTGAAATATCAGTTCCTGTTCGTTTTAACGAGTGACACATAAAATAATCACAGTGTTGTGTAACAGGTGAATAATTGTTTCAGATTATCTTTAAATTGTAAATCATAGATCTGTTTTTGATGTCGATTAACACGGTGATGGTCGTGTTCAGTTGTGTTAGCTCAAGAATAAATGGTTTTAACATATTTTATTTATTTAAAATGGCACAATAACATACATCAGGTAAAAAAAAAAACATTATATATAAAAATCTGACGGCATGTCTGCGCCCAATTATAATTGTGCTCAACATTTGTACTGTCGACAACAATGAAAATGTGCAATAATCTCATATTAAACTATGTGTGTAAGTAACCTACTTACAAACGATATAAAGTAACCAGATGTTACAATGATCAAAAACCGTCGAGATAAAATAAAAAATAATAATAAGTTATTTTCATTGACGTATTCGTTTTGTCTAATGTTTTTATAATTACCGCGTCATTATTGTAGGATCGTTATATAAAATAAATCTTAAAGAAAGTAATGTCGCTTTACATATAGGGATATTTTTATAAATCTCTGGTCGCTATATTATTTGATATATTACGTCGAACCTACCACATTTTAAAATAAATACATTAAGTCATTCAATAACTACATATCTAATGGCAATGATAATTTATGTGAAGAGCTGGTAAGTTTATTTCGCTTGTTCTTCTTGTCAGCTAAAAGACGTCCTGCAAAAGTGGTAGGGGAATTTTTTTTGGACGCTTCAAAAGTGCTTGAAACAATCTTACTTGAATAAAGACATTTTCATTTCATTTCTAACTACTGGTCGTTGTCATGTATTTTGCTGCAATCGTTTGTTTCTACATAGAATTTTTAAAATCTTATACAAAACTGTGATTTTAACTTACCAAAAATCACAGGAAAGCGAAATACGTGATTGTGTTTTTGATTTTGGTATTTGGCAGAGAACGATTCCTGCTTATTTTTATTAAGAGCTAAAATCTCGATAATTTTTAATGGGGGTATGTATTAAATTTTTCATTTTCATGAGATTTCATTAGAAAAAAGAATTTTGAAAATCACTTGACGATTAGTGGTGAGAAATCTGTGGATATACTTACTTTAAAAAAATACTCGTGGAATAAAGAACCTTATACGAAATAACCGACTTTGCGATTAATTTTATATTGATTGTTCGTCAAGAATATACGTCCGTCGCATTACGAATTTCCTTAGTTTGTTAGGAAACGAAACGGGGAATAACTAGGTGATGGCACATAAATAACATTTGAAATCTTAGAATAAATAAATTCCAATAATATAATTTATAGCCCTAAAATCCGCATAACATTATTAAAACAATTTCAGAATCAAATTATTTATTTTCTACGAAATTATATTTAAACAGAAAACTTCAAATAAATCTCATTATAACGTTATATTAATGCTTAGTGCGTATTTTTGATTGACGAAGACTAATTTCCAGAACCATTACGACTAATAGAATTTTTTTTATATTTGTTGAAAGGTTCACTCGATAACACATCAGTTATTACTATAATGTTACGTACTAAGTTAGTACTATTAAGTTCATTATTGATTGCAGAGGTCTTTTGAATTCAATGTGCTGTTGTGGGTATATATTCTTCCGGATGCCTTCGTAACATTTTTTTTAAATATCGCAGTAATTAAAAAAGGTTTTTTTAATAAACGTAACCTACTTTTAATTTAGGTATCACGCTAACTTATTATACAAAAAAACGGAAATGATTATAACCTGAAATGAGTACATAAGGCAGTTTATAATATTGTAATCGTCATCTAAGATGTTGCGCAGTGACATGCGATGTGTGAGCAAAGATAACATAAACACATTATTATCAGCGAGAGGTCACTTGGCGTTAT